GGAGGAGGGGGGAGGGGGGCGGAGGGAGGAGAAAGGAGGGAGGAGGGAGGATGGAGGAGGGAGGAATAGGAGGAAGAGGAGGAGGGTACGTCTGTCACCGCTCCGTTCTCGGGCGCCCACACAGGCCGCGGAGAGAGACCGAGCGGACAAGCTGGAGCACCTGTTGCGGCACGAGCGCGAGCTCCACCAGGAGGCCCCAGGGCGGGGAAGGCCTACCGATGCAGCTGCCCCTGCCTCGCTCTTTCGCCCCCGTGGGCCTTCCGTCGGCGGGGACGGGCCGTCTCACAAGGCCTTCCGACCCGCCTCGAAGAATAAGCATACACAGAAACTGTTGGAGCTCCGTGCGGAGTTCTTGGATCGGCGCTCGGGCTCCCCTGGCGGCGCACCCGGCGCCGCCCGCTGGCGGGCTCCGCGCGCCAGGGGGGAGGGTCATCATGGATCCAAGAAGTCCGCGTGGAGCTCTAACCGTTTTTTGCTGACACGCTTGCTTTCTCCACTGCGCATGGCCTCTCTCTCTGAGCACAGTCGGCTTCTAAGAAGGCCCGAGGGCTTCTGGGAAGGCCCGCCGCTTCTGAGAAGGCCTGCCCCGTCTCGCTTCCCCCTTGGGCTCGCCGCCGATCTTCGGCGGCCCTCACGGCCAGGTCCGCGTGGGAATTCTTGTCAGAGCGCACCCTGGGGGAGGTCCAGGGGGTAGCGGCATTAGTACAGTCGGGCCGCTGAAGAAGGAACCCGTGTCGTTTGGGAGGGGCCCCGTGTTCCTTAGTTGTTTTGCAGTTCGCCTCAAAATTCCTTGGGCCGTCGATGGGAAATCGAAACTTAGCTTATGGAACAAAGGGGCCTCGTTCCTTATTGTGAAGGCCTTACGGCCTGTGCCGGCAACGGGATGTGTGATCACAGGAAGGAGCTAAAGGACAACGTGACAGGGTAGGCGGAGGAAGTGTGTGAGGAGGAGGAGGAGGAGGAGGAGGAGGAGGAGGAAGAGGAAGAGGAGGAGGAGGAGGAGAAGGAGGAGGAGGGGGAGGAGGGGGAGACAAACGAAAAGGAGATGGAGAAGATGGCAGAAGACGCTCAGGAGGAGAAGGAGGGAGGTGGTATTCTGACCTGGGACCCCCCCAGGACACCCCCCGGGACACCCTGGGGATCCCCCCCGGGAACCCCCCTGGGCTTCCCCCGGGACACCACCCCCCGGCCGGGGAAGGGAGCGAAGGGAAGGGGAAACCCTTCGAGCTCGAGCCAATTTATTTGACGCAGGAGGAAGAGATGAAGGAGGAGGAGAAGGAGGAGGAAGAGGAGGAGGGGGCCTTCGATGGGAAGTCGAAGCTTAACTTATGGAAGAACGGGGCCTCGTTCCTTACTTTAGGTTTCCTTAGTGGTCAACGCACCAACTGCACCTTGGATCGGTCTCCCCAGAGGCGCTCTGCCTGCTCGAGCAGCACAGGCTGGAGAAGGAGGAGGTGGACCGGGAGCTCAGCCGGGAGCTGGAGCAGCTCTCGGGGGAGCTCGAGGAGAAGGCCCTCGACGACGCACCAAACACCATAATCGACTACGCGTAAGAGTGACCCTTCGCCGGAGTGACCTCTAGTGCGGGCCCACTGGGGTCTCCCGATCGCCGAGCGCGGTGCGGTTGTCGCGTCTTGCGCGCTTGTGTTTGGTCCCCCCACGGCCCCCCAGAGGGTCATTCTTGCGTGCAGTCGACCTAAACGTACATTTTCGGAGCTCCACGTTTATGTGCTTTGATCGGCGCCGGGTCTTCCCTGGCGCGCTGCGCGCGCCAGGTAAGGGGGGGGGCAGCGCGGACATGGTTTTGATCCGCTAGGCGTCGGACATGATGACCATCCAGTTTGACATGGTCGAGCTCCGGAACCGGCTGAGCGACCAGTCCAAGGCCATCGCCGCGAACCAGGAGGCGCTGGAGGCGGGCCGATCGCAGCTGGAGGAGAAGGACGACAAGCTCCGCGCCGCGCTGGAGCGGCAAGAGGACCACCCCGCCCCATCGCTTGTCAAGGGCGCCTGATGGCTTTGCACAGGCCACCCGCTACTTGGACAGTCCTGGATGAGGCCTCCAACGGTCTCTTCCCTGGCTTTGCATGTTTGCACCGCGGGCCCTCCTCGAGCAGCATCGCAGCGTTCTGATTCTGCAGTGCTAAGGCGTTAGGGCGCTGCAGCGACGCAGGAGTCTCGCCGAACTGCGGGGGGAGGCACGTCGTGGGGTTGTCCGCCACCATGAGGACAGTGGCGCGTTTTCACCATTGACCCAGAACCGTGGCATCCAACTGCCACCGCTTCGCCGAGATCTCTGAGCAGAACGGCTGGTGCCAGCAAAGTACAACTCGTGCGTAGCCAGATTCGAAGAGTGCCTTGCAGTGTGAAGCGCAGTAGCTTGGGCCTTCATGGCGTGACCACTCCCGAGAGGCTCTTCAATGCTCCTGCTCAGATCTGTGGTTCTTCAAATCCAAAGGAGCTGATGAGCGAGTTCAACGCCGTGACGGAGAAGCTCCAGGAGCGCGCCAGGGGCACAAGAAGGTGGGGTGAGCATGGCGAGGAACAGGAGGAGGATGACCAGAACGAGGATGAGGATGGGTATGTAAGTATGATGATGATGATGGTGGTGGTGGTGATGGTGATGATGATAGTGATGATGGTGATGCTGATGCTGATGATGATGCTGCTGATGATGATGATGATGATGATGATGATGACGATGATGATGATTGTGATGATGATGAAGAGGAGGAAGAGGAGAAGGATATTTGTTTCATCGCGGCGCTTTCTCGACGGCAGCAATCATGCTGTCCATGGGGAGGGGAGGAACTGAACATTCCTCTCCCTCTTGTTCTGCTTGGGGCGCCTGTCGCTCGGGCAGTACAGCCATGCAGTACGACCCGCTCCAGGCATCTCTTTGCCTTCACAGGGCTCATCCGGCTTCACCACAGGACCGCCTGTGCTGTAAAGATGGAAGCCGAGAGATCTGCACAGGAAGGAGTCGTCGGTGCAGTCCACAAAGCACACCGATGCTTCATCTGAGCATCAATCCTGCATTCAGCCGAGGGGGCATGGAGCATCTCCCTTGCGGCGGGCGAACAACACCGCGCTTGTCTCGGAGGCACACACGACACGGCCAAAAGGATGTGGCCCAGGTCCAGTCATGAACACATGTGTCAGCCCGTGGCCGCGGAGGACTCTTGACATACTCAGCCACTGACGAATCGCACTTGGGTCATAAGGGTAACACTTTGCACGCCGGGTTGACTACAGCGCGAGACGTCCGAAGATGAGGCTCAAGCTTTTCCTGGTCTTGAGAGCTCGGGAGGGGGTGAGCAGCGCCCCCGCGTCTTCGCAGATGTGTCCGCAAAGGAATCCCTCTTCCTCCTCCTCCTTCTCCTCCTTCTCTTCCTCATCCTCTTTCCTTCTCCTCCTCCTCCTCCATCTCGTCCCCCTCCTCCTCCTCCTCCTCCTCCGCAACGCCACGGCGCCCGCTCCTCAAACGTCGTCAAGCTCCTCACGAGCCGCGGCATGCATGACTTCCCGAGTCTAGCTCCTGCAGCCCCCGAGCAGCCCTCCCAGGGGCCGAGCCAGAGCAGGCCCTCTCCCCCGAGAGGCGCTCCGTGGGGAGCTCGAGAGCGCACACGGGGAGGCCACGCCGGCACAGTCGGAATAGAGAGTCGGGTATGGCCAGGACCCCAGGTAAGGGGACCCGGTTAGTGGTAGGGCCCTGGGGCCCCTCAATGGGCCAGAATCACTAAACCAGGTTTGCCGTAATTGGTGTTTTTCGGGTGACGGCAGTTCCGGTTAGTGGAAATGGGACGGGGGGGGCGCTCCCAGTACAGATCATCAAACCAGGTTCCACTAAACCCAGTTCTGCCAAGGCCCGAGAGAGGACCGCGGGGCCGTCTGAGTTGGCAGAGGCAGCAGCGTTATCAGAGGCGGCGTTTCCCGCTGGAGGGCTCTGGGGATGCTGGGAGAAAATCGGGCCCAAAACACCAGCCGAACGCCCTCACACAAGGCCAAACCAGCACGGGACCATGCGTTCACAGCCGACTTAAAAGCAACCGCCGTCTGGAAGCTCAGGGTCTTCGGTTATCAACTCCCCATGATGACTAGACCCGCCCCCTGGAATCCATCCTCGAGAGATATTCCATGACGAAGCGGTCCGTTCCCTTTTTGATTCAGCGTCCCATGGTCAAACTCCCCAGGGTGAGGCAACGTGCCCGAGGTAAACGCGACCAAATCCAGAGACCCGGCCTCTTGATCGCGAGGGCCAAAGACATCGTCTCGCTGCTAACCAGCTCCTGATTGCGATCGGCACAGGAGCGGCTACCGTCAATACGCTGAAATAAGGAACAGTTTGGGTTCGGAAGGGGCTCGATGTTCCTTAGGTTCCTTCAGTGCTGTTCCTCTTGCCCTCCTGGGGCACGGAGGCGCTTACAGTGCCAAGAAGGGGCTTCGTTCCTTAGTTAGCGTTCCTTCTCTCAGCAGCCCGACTGTATTCCGGAGACGGTGAAAGACAGAATCCATAGCAGCCTTACAGGAGCGGGCAGCAGAGAGCAGAGCAACCCAGCGGGCGGGAGCATTCTTTCCTGAACGCAGACCGCTTCTTCGACCGCAAGGCCGAGTTGATCGAATACACAGAGAGTCTAGGGATCGCCCAGCGATCCTCGCCTGCTAAGCTCGCCGCAAGCCAAGCAGACTCGGCCGCCACGTCGATTCTATCGAAAGGGCGCCTTGAACACAAGCTTCAGAAGAGCTTCTCCCTCCAGTTGGCGAATGACTGCAGAATGCAAACACGTTTTGGTGAGCTGCGGGCTCAACAACGCACGCGAAATATCATTGTTTGGATCACCTGTGAACGTTACAAGGTTTTTCACCGACCACCCGATGAGGACCAGGCTCATGTACATTGCCGAAATGGCCTCCGAGACCTTCCTCCAGGAACGCGTCCGACACTTTTCAACATTCCTGGAACAAACAAACTCCCAGGCCTTCCTGATAGTCGGCCAGTCCAGGCAACCCCTGAACACGCGAGACCCCAAACGCCAGATTTCTTTACATTCGCGGAGCCTCCAGGGACTGGATCTGAAAGAGCAAGCGTTTGCATGTCATCTTCTTGCCGGAGCATCGCTTGCTGCAGGAAGATGCTATTCAAAGAGCGGCTAGCCATTGTCGGAATGTTGGTTGGAAACTTATCTGGGAGCTTGCCATTCGGAAGCCTGAGGAGGGCACGTCGGGTGTTGCGGCGATTGTTGCCAGAGATTTCTCGGGGTTGCATCCTCGTCCTGGTGTACTGCCGATAGTTGCTGGCCGCCCCATGGGTGTTTCTTTTCATGTACCTAGTGCTCTTCCTGCCACCGCGGAGTGTCTCTACGGGTATGACTCGGAGGGTATGACTGCGCGCCAGATTGATCTCTTGAAGGAGGTCGGCTCCTACCTGTCGCTGGTCTCTGGCCCGTGTCTTGTAGGTGGCGGTTTCAACTTGGACCCCGAGCAGGTCCTCGACTCCTGGCCTCGTGGAGAGCCTCGGGGGGAAGCTGGATCCCAGTGGGGCGCCTGCGTGCTTCGGGACGTCTTCCAGGACTCGATTAGTTCGTCGTTTCTGGAGGTCTTGCCCAAGGGATCTCGAAGGTCTTTGAGTGCCCCAATGATTGTTTGAGCCCTTCTATGGCAATCTCGGCAGAGTTTCATCCTCATTTCTGTCGTCCGCAAGCCCATGCTTTTCGGTTGCCTCCGGGTCTTTCTGTGGCTGATCTTCCTGGCCCTCCTCCGCGTCCTTAGGATTTCGGTAAGAGTTTCATGCCTCTGGATGTACGTGAGAGAGAAATTGCTTCCCGCAGCTCTCCCAGACTGGATCGGCTTCTTCGCAGTGCCTACAAGCAGTGGGCCAACGAGTCGGAAGCTGAGCCGGAAGCCGCATTTGCCGTGGATCTCTCACGGACAGAGGCCAGGGGCAAGGGCCCAGAGGTGGTTTGGCGTTCTGTTTTCAGGAAGGACTTTCAGCAGATCCGCTACCCCCCAGCGCCATGCTCTTCGCTGGGCTGCAGCTCGTTTCGAGGCAGTGCTGTTTCTTTCGCGCGCTACTTCATCGGCAGTGGGTGTTCGACCAGGTGCTGTGGACCCGGCTCGTTCCGTCGTGGATGTGTTTCGCAAAACTTCAGATTGGATTTCTACGCTTCTGGGGGATCTCGAATGGCACCTTGACAGCATCCAGGAAGCTTCTAGGGAATGGTCCGAGGACGGTTTTTTTTCCCCCAAGTGTCTGGAGAAGCTTGAGGATTTGTACTCCGCTCAAACATCCATTCTGGACTCGTGCATCTTCGTGCGCGACAAGCTTGCCAAGCAAGAGTGGCGCTCCTGGCTGACGGAGAGAACCAAACAAGAGGCTAGAAGCGTTCACGCCGCCATGAAGGAACCCCATTCCTGGGCTCCTTCCACTGCCCTCTCCTCTGGATGGGTGGTGGTTTCAGATCCCCAGAGATCTCCTTCAGCGGGATCCACAAGGTTCCGTATGTGAACGGCAGGTGCGGGTCACGGAGCCCAGCACCAGGAGTTGAGAGGCGCCCGTTCTTCCGCCCTTCTTTGTGTTGACAGCTTGCGAGCCCTCGTGGGTACTTCTCGGCGGGGAGGCACAAGAGGGCTTTTGGATACCGTTTGGAGGCAAAGTGTCCGTTCGGAGTCGGGAGTTCGGTCTCGTCTGGATCCGTTCACAATTCTTTGGGATGCGTGTAATCATTGTGAAGACATCTGCCCTGAGGTCCTTCGACTTAATGTTATCAGGCGTGGTATCCCGCTTGCTCTGCTCAACGTTTGCACCGTTCGGTACCAGGGCGCTCGGTGCATGTCTCTCGCCAGCATCGCTGCTGGCCCGCACTTCGCCACCATGGGAGTCTTGGCGGGATGCAGTGCTGCCACCACGCACATCCACATGTGTTCCCTCGATGCGTTCGACACTAGACCTCGCTCTCACAATGGGGCGGACTGCCCATCCATCTATTATCTACTTCAGGGAGGGTGAGGGGACGCTGAACCAGTTCAGGAGATCGGATGCACACATATATGATGCCAACCTCTCGGCTATAGGAGGGTGGAGGTATATGATCGACTCGCTTCTGCTCATGGCTTCTCTGCTCTCTCACGCGATATCTCAACGATGGGCAATCAGCTCGCCCTAGACAGAGCTGCGCTGATCCGTTCTTGTCTCAACCCTGGGAAGGCTACAGAAGCTCGTTTAGGTGGTCTCAGTGGTGGCTGGGGCCCCCCTGCGGTGAACCTGGGGTTGGGCGACTCCGCGGGCACGCCGTACAGACCAGGCAGAGGGAAGTCTCAGTTTGCCAAGAGGGCTCTCAGGCAGGGCTCGCCTGAAGAGGAAGTCCGAGGAAGCTTCGGATACCCAAGATGTTGAGGGATCATGTTGGGCGCAAGGCGCTCAAAGCGTTGATTTCGAGCCCCGTGCCCCATCTACATGTGTGTTCTGAAACTGTGGCCATGTCTTTGATTGAGATTCTTGAG